CTTATTAGGAGATGTATGGCTTTTATATTTCATCACTTCTTCTGAATATTTTCCTGTTCTGTCACAAATCATTGTTCTCTCCTGTGCTAAAGGATGCTGGTAATTGGTACATAAAGAAGACTTCCTAATTATGCATAACAAGGAACTTGGATTTCATTGGCTTGCTTAGCTCAGTTTCATTGGCTTGCTTAGCAGTGACCTAGATTTAAAAAAAGATGAAAGCAATCATGCAAATCTAGATGTCTGTTGTCAGACTGAAAAAGTTTTTTTTTTCTTTTAGCTTGCTTGCATCAGCACCAGAAACATTTGACTCCCAACATTTTCTACAAAAGTGCTTGTGTCGTCAGTGATCATCTTAATGCATGTATTTCAGACGCAAAGCAAGCTTATCTTACTGCCCATTGAGCTGTTTGTTTTCTGTGGTAGTTTAAAAAAGAATCAGATAGTTCAGCGATAAATTGGCTTTAAGCTGTTTAAGGTAAAAGAAACAAGTGCTGTCTCAGCCCATTTCTTTGAAGTGCCCTGGAGAGAGCTACACAATTTACCATGAGAAAGAACATAGAGCCATATTCAGTAACTCATACATCCACTTCAACACGCAGTTTTGAGATGCCTCACACCCTGAGCACAGCAAAACATCTCTGTTTGACAATTAATTCAATCTGAAAAACATATTGATTGTAGTCTGTCAGGAACAGAATGAGCATAAGGTGTGTCGCTTCAGCATGTGTTCGTAAAGTCTCTGGAGAATGGCAGTATTGTCTGTACTACTCTAAAATAACAAGGCATTGGTGTATAGAAGTAACAGCAAACCTGGAGATAAGGTGCAGTCATCATAGTTCACATCTGTGCGATTTGAAATTACTTTATCTAGAATCATTTTTTACATTTGGATGTAAAATCTAAAAAAAAGCTTTATGAAGATTTTAGGTATAAAGAGTAAGTAAATCAGTTGAGAGTTTGCTGGCATCTATCCTGGTTAATAACAGAAAAGCTGGGATTGAGAGAGCTGAGCTGATGCAGGAAAGTCTGAACTGCTTTCATTTAAACATTGGGAACATTAGAATGACCACATTTACTGAGGTAATGATATACAGTACAATGATTCTTTACATAAACTGGTTATATATCTAGTAAAAAGATATGACTGCTTCACTTATTCAGTAGCTGCTTACCAAATATGCAGGCTGCATTCAGGTTATCAACATTCAGCCCTTAGCATGATTTGCAAACTACTGATGGCAGTCAAATAAGGGCATTAAAAACTACCCATAAAGCATAAAACATCCATCCGTCTCTGTCTGTCATTTTCTCTGTCTGTCATGTGATAGTGCTCAGGACGGCATGCTTCGGCTCAGGTGGTAAAGATGTGAACAGTCTAATGCAGCAGCCACTGAAGCACACAAATGTAGCAGGCAGGCTTCAGGTAGCAGTAAGGATTGTAAGCCCAGTGTTAAAGTGAAGAGACTGTGACGACACCTGCATTCAGCAAACTCACTGAGTCTCAAGGATAAGGACTGGGGATGTCTTAAGTGCTTGTTTCTCATCAAGAGGGAAAGGTTTTTAATTCCACAGACGATGAAGTGGGTTCATGTTGGTTGCTGTGTAACATGAGGCTTGCTTGCTCGAGTAGGGGGTCATGTGTGCTTTAGAAGGGAGATGTCATATTCATCTTCTTTCTGTTGTTACTTCCCACAATGAAGTAAACAGATACAGGGTGTAGCACTGCATGACACTAAAATTGCTTCTTCTTAACCTGTTTAGAAAGTAGCTGACCGTTAATGTTTAGAGACGTCCTGAACATTATGATTTTTGAATTGTATTAACTCTGTCCACAGCATAAAAATATTTTTAAAGTCTGTCGTTTGTGCACTGCAGTTCACTATGCTCCAAAGCAGCTACCATACAGTACCTTGAGTAGCTACCTAAATCTTCAGCCAGATTTTAGAGTATAAAATCCCGAACCTCTGGGTTTAAAGAAAGCTTCTACTCCACAGCAGTAAGACACCTAAACTCCACCTTTTAAATCCTTCTACCCCCTCTTACACTGCTTTTGCACTGAAGTGAAAATACTGCCATTACTTGAATTTCATGTCCCACTGCTAATTTAATGTTGCATACAATTACAGCTGCTACATGTCCCCGTTTCCAACAATTTGTGATGTGATTTGTTATGTCAATTTCTATGTCAGTGTTATGTCATTTGTCATGTGACAAATACCATGCTAGTAAGCATTTCATTCTGCACGGTTACATGTAACAATTTCCTGAGAGCTAAGCAGATCTAAAAGATTTGTGCATTTTAGGTTGAGGAATGGCAGCTTCTGCTTATATTATGTGCATCTTTGTAAAACGGGATTTCTCTCTTGATTAAAATAAACCAGACTTTTTCTCTTGAATTCCTCTAAATCTTTCAATTTAAATATTTAATAGTTCAGACTAAAGAAGAATGGTTACCTTTAGGAGGTTACAGCAATTTGTACAGAGAAAACCTTCTGACTTTAAATATTAAGCCATGTGGTGCAAAAGGGATCACTTGATGTTACTGTGAATGTCACAGTCATTTCATGTGAAACACATTTAGTGTCCACCCCTTAGCTCCCACGCTCAGCGTTGCTCTTATAAGTACTGTAGTTGTGTGGGGTGACATTATGAACATTTTATTTGAAGAGTTGAAAATGCACACTAATGTTTTAACAGTAATGTATGGTTGGACACATCAATCAAATGTGTTAGTCTGAAAACATGTGGTGAGACAGACAGCTACAAAGTAATTTGCTCGACAATCCATGGTGCTGCTTGTAGAAGTGGAAGATTATGACAAATAAAGGTTACTTCACAGCTTGCCATTTTGTCCTTCCAAACTGTAGAGAATGCACATCACAAGTCACGAGAAGGAGCTTGCTTGTCATTTGTTGAAGTTTGCCATAATTGCTCAGCTGTCTAATCAACACAAAACATGTAATTTGCCAGAATGGTTGAACATTTTTATGTTGTTTCTTGCATATTGAATAAAATTGCTCTCCTCTCAGGCTGTACTATTAAATGCTGGGAATCTGTCTACATGTTCAAGTGCTTGGGAGTGGAGCCCTTTCATTGTATAACACAGAATGTAAATTTAGCTGTCAGCATGGCAATCAGGTCCAAGTACCGTTACAAGGCTACTGACAAGATAATTGCCTGCCGAATTTGGGATCAGGAGGCCAGATTAAGGAAAGAACAGTGGCAATGTGTGAATGTTTTGGGGAGTTGTGTTTATTATCAAAAAACAGATAAAAATGTGCTTTCCAATATCTGACACACTCTGGCATATATAGTATGTATATATCTCAACAGAAAGAGAAGAAGGAGTGACTGCAGGTCAGATACAGTACAGTAACATAATATACAGTACTTGTATATTATCTTTTACAACTTACAAGGAGCACCCTACATGGTTATGGTGGCATTTTATTAGTATGCATTCACTGTTACTTATGGTTTAAGGGTTGTGTTAAACTAACTAATATTTATAGTCAGAGTCAATAAGCAGTGGGCACAAGGCATGGACAAGACACCAAAGTGGGCCAGTTTTCCCAGAAGCCTACCAGTACGTTTATTCGACTGTGGGAGGAAATCAGTGCACTCAGAGGAAACCCATGTAAACTCCACATAGACAGCACCCCAGGTCTGGAATTAAACCCAGGGACTCAGTGCGGAAAGGCAGCAATGCTAATGACTGTGCCACCATGCTGTCTTCTGGCCCCTTTCGTTTCATTTATATTTATTCATTTGGCTGACACTTTTATCCAAAGCACCTTACTTTGGATAAAAAGTAAGGCGAGTCACATCCAGTCAAAAAATCTAAGGGTCCGTTGAACAGTTGTATGAAGTACTTGGAGATTCAGTGCCTCGTGACAGGAATTGGAACATATGAGCACAGACAGTAAGTAAGAGTTAGTCACGGGCTTCTGGGGTGAGGAAAATGATGAATGGTTCTGACTGTGGTAGGTGGATAGTTCCACCTTTTTGGAGTTAGTGCCTTATTGATCTGAGGATCTCAACTAGGTTTTTCTAGAAAGAAACCAGTGTACTGTGTTGGCTTCATCAATGTGACTGAAAACATGTTGATGTTTCTAACCTTTATAACAAGTGTTATTTCTAACTCTTCTTGTGTAATACTCTTTACTTTGAATGGGAATACAAAAATAAACTCACTGGGTATAAAATGTTGTTGTTATTATTGCTGTCAAAATATTTAACTCCAAATAATTAATGGAAATGTAAGCTTATGCATGGACAGTTTAGCAAAGGATGCTTAAAATAATTAATAGACACTTATGTGTTTTACTGACCACAGCCTATTTAACATTTTGGTGTGAAACTCAAAATGAGTGATCCTCAATATAATATATTGGCTCACTGTGAACTCTGAAAAGCTGGGGTATGCTAAATAATGCTAGATAATCACATGCACAATCTTAATGAAGATTGCTGTTGAATTAGCTGCTTAATGTTGCCTCTGTTCTAGATAGAAAAATGTCAGTCATTGCTTCTAAAGAGCATAAATGATTGATTGTTAATTACTGAAAAATTGCTGGACAATTATGAATCCAGTTGGGAATTGTATTGCTGTGCTGGAAAACTAGATATGTGTCATTTCAATTAATAAATGCAAGAATATGTATCACAGTGCACATACAGAAAATTCAGTGTTATAATGTGTCACATTGTAGTCCTATAAGGTATTATTTCAAATACAACTTCACTGTAAATCTGAATCTAGAAATGAGTTTGCAAGTAGACCCTGCAGTTAATTACAGTGGGAATAGTTAGAATGCAAACCCTTTTTTAAGCAATGAATAGACTAGACATAGCTCTCTCTAATACTTATTGCATCTGACAAGATGCAGGCCTGTTTCACAATCACAAATCTCCAGATCGATTTGAATTTATGCTCTATAATTGCTTGATCTGCTGTTTTCTGTTCGTTCATGTGGTGTTTTTGTTTGTGTCCGCAGGACAGCAGGTAGCCAACCTCCGGAGCCAGTTTAAAGTGACCTGTCTTGCCTTCCATCCCCGGGACCCCAATGTTTTTCTTTGTGGGGGGTTCAGCCCTGAAGTCAAAGCCTGGGATGTCAGAAGCTGCAAGGTCATCTTCAAATAAGATTTATTTTTGAATTTCATTGGATTATGTATAGTAATTTATTGTATCCGTTTTAGTGCTGGCTTATTTTACCTCCTGGCTCAAGCAACCAAATTATTAGCAGCTTTTAAAGAGCCAACTCTGTCTGCACTTTGTACAGCCAAAAACTGCCATTCTGTGGAGTCATACTGGTCAAGCTTTTTGACCTTTTAGCTCAAGTGAGCTAACCCTAATGCACTTACCATGCGTTTGCAGGGTCTTGGATATCGGATCACTGCCACTTTAATGTAATTGCTCTGAAAAACCCTGTTTGTTCATTTCTTAAAGAACCAAAGAGCTTCTGCGTGAAAATGCTAAGAGAGTATTTGAGCCTTTCTTGTATTTACAGGGGTGGGAGGTGAATCTTGACTGTAGATAAAAGATAGTCCCTAGTGGGTTATATCATAATGGAAAGATGACTGCTCCTGCCAGAAGGTTTTGATGATTTCAGTACTGAGACAGAGTGTTGAGTAGCAACATTAGTGCTAGTGCAAGCAGCCAAAATCATCCTCTCCTGCTGTGAAGCCAAACATTTCCTTTCTACACACCTTAAAAGGGATTTATGGGCCTTAGCACTTTAGTACAGCTCTTTTCTTTTTCAAGAATTCTTTTGTGAATTGGGAATAATTCGGCAGTTTCTCCTGTGTAAGGAAGCTGAGAAGCAATATTAAAAATACTGAAGTCTATTTTTATAGAAAAGCAGTGTTAAACCAGTGTTAACAAAGTGGATTGTGGTTTCTTGGTTGTATTTACTGTCTCTTGTACAAACAAAATGTGCCGGAGTCCTGGATCCTGGACAACCTGTTGTAGCATAATATAAAAAACGTAGTTGATCACAAAAACACAGAAATTTACAACCTCAATTGCAGAATAGTACTTCTTACACAACAAAGACTCATGAGAGAAACACCTTCCTGTACATCAAAACACTCTCTAGACTCAACAACCACTAACACAATGAAAGCCCAAAGTCTTTTATATAACTCTTCACTAATTAACACCCATTTCAGAATGTGTAATCTTTCCCTCTCCAGTAGCATAATTAGCACATTTACACCAAGTGTGTCTATTTACAGGTGATAGTGGTCTTTGGCAGCCTCTAGTGGTAGGTCATCTGTTGCCAACTTTACAATACCATGAAAGACTAGCCTGCCACACATGATGACCTTCACAAAACTGTTGTGCTCTACAGGCAGCTATGAAGGACAAAGACACTACTTACACCACTTACTAAATAACAACATTAGACATGTTACAAATAAGTGGCACCCTTTCAGTCCATTTAGTTTATTTGATAGTTGGTGTCTTATTGATTCAAGGACTTCCCCAGCTGTTTCCTAAAGAAAGACCAGGTATCAGCTTCAACAACATGGCTGATAGAATAAAACCCTTGTGCAAGTCAGCTTAACTCAGCTACGCACTGTTAAAATCAATTATTTAAAACAAATTAACTGTATATACGTTCTCTCCTCTACCACATTGACTGCCCCGTATGGCAGTCCTGTTATCATTGCAGGCCCTCTCTTTAGTTCTACAGGGGTAATCCATCACACATGCATACAGAATGGATAGTTTTTTTTAAGCTTTTCAGCAGTAGAAAACAGCTAACCTGATTGGATATGAACATGAAACATCCCCAGACCATTGTTTAGGTAGATTAGGCAATCTGTTCTGCTTTTATTGTTTCTAATACTGCTGTGGTTTGTTTTGCTACTTACACTATGCAAATTTAAATGGGATTTTGATTGAACCCAAATCAACACAGTGCCTGACCTGCAGTGCTGTGTACGGCCTGTCAAGATTGGGCTGAGACTTGTTGCCTTCTGTCCCAGCAGGTTGTCCGCGGATACCAGGCTGGGGTTCAGCAGACATTGGATATTCAGTTCCTTGCCGGAGGGCAGGATTTTGTGACGAGCACAGACTCTGTCAGCAGGGACTCGGCTGACCGCACTCTCATTGCCTGGGATTTTCAAACCACAGCGAAAGTGTCCAATCAGATTTACCACGTAAGTTAAATGCAATATATAGTTTGGCCAGCAGTGTACTGTACATCAACGTAGGCTGAACAGAACAAATAAAATCCGGTGGGATCAGAGGTTTATGGATGCTTTTTCTGAGAAACATCTGAAAAAGTAAATTTTGAAAAAAAACTTGCAAAAAAAGAAATCCAAAACAAAAGAACCCTAAAAAAAGGCCTTCCAGTTGTTGGTTTAAGACATGGAATTCTGACTTAATTCAGTAGACAGGGTTTGTTCTGTAGTTGTTCAGAGGATCAATAATTACAAATAAAAAACCAGCAAGAATGTCCACATTTGTGAAAATAAGGTTTCTTCAATTTTTCAATTGTGGTTGCATATACAATATAAAACTACATAGAACTGAGCAGCAGTCACTTTTTTTCTTTCTCTGTAGGAGCGATATACATGCCCCAGCCTTGCTCTGCACCCGCAAGAAGATTTCTTCGTTGCACAGACAAATGGAAACTACATAGCACTTTTTTCAGCACAGCGGCCTTATAGGATGAACAAAAGGAAACGCTATGAAGGCCACAAGGTTGGGATTGCTGCAATATTAGCAAGACGAATACAATGTCCACGTGTGTGTCAAATTACCGAGCACAGAATTCAAGAGAATTAAATTGCTTGAATAACTCAGTACAGTTGATAACATCCAAAAATAAAACTTCTTCAGCAAATAAAATTCTGCAGTGGATAACAATTTAGGAACTCCCACCATCCTAGATGAACTCAAATACATGTATACCATGAACACAAAGTAGCTTTCCAGTCCTTAATCATCAGCACCCGTGTTATTGCCTTTCAGTCACATCTTTATAAAAAATGTCCGTACTAGCAGGCTTGTTGCATGAGATGTGCAGTGAGGCTCATCTGAGCTGTGCTGTGTTGTGTATTCCAGGTGGAGGGGTATGCTGTAGGCTGTGAATTCTCCTCAGACGGATTGTTCCTGGTCACTGGGAGTTCTAGTGGCACGGTACATTTCTATAACTATCAGAGCTCCAGGCTGATCAAGACTCTGTCTGCACACAAACAGGCCTGCGTCTGCGTGACTTTCCACCCTGTGATGCCAGCTGTAGCGGCTACATGTGACTGGAGTGGAGAAATCAATATCTGGCACTGAATGTTTTGACAGGAGCAATTGGAGCACTGCCACTGAGGATTAGACATGCTCACAAACTCACACTTCCTTTGGGGCTGAGGAGGAGGGCTGCAAGAGTTTTCTCTTATAAGAGTGTTATTCATTTTTAAGGCCATCTAGGAAGAGTTTTATGATTTAGTTTTTTCTGATTGTGTCTTTTAATTTACTGCCCACACCTTACTGTGTCCACAGAGTTAAATCTCATGGGGATTTACAGAAAGATGGTTTAGCTGCACAGTACACAGAAAGGAAAACCTTCCCAAAGAGGTATTGAAATGACTGTAATCTGAAAATGAATTCAATCCCCTGATCTCAAATCAGTTTCCAGAAGACCTAGTATCTTCTGCTTTTTGTTTGAGACCGAGTCTCTTAAATGATTAATTATTTTCTTGGTTATCCATACAGTTTTTCTCAAGGTTCTTAACAGTTGATCATTCAAACCATTCAGTTCAGTAAAGGTACCATTATCTATAAAACACACCTCTGAACCTGGTTAAAAATATTAAATTATGTATTTATTTTATGTTAGATCAATACTTTACAACTGAGAGCTTGTGGTGAACAATAACCAGAAGATACCAGACTAGAGGACTCTAACAAAGCCTCAGCTCTGTGGAATTGACTGTGAGACTTCTGGCTCAAGCTTTGAAGTCAGTATGCTCCAGTTTTCTTTATGCTCCGGCTGTTGAACACCAATCTCTGGGGATTCAGGAAATAGTTTGCTAGCAGCATCACCTGGCTGTGAACTGGCAACGGCTATGCTTTACTCTATGCGCTGTTCTGGGAGCATCATAGGCAGCAAGAAACAAAAAAAGATATCTTGCGTGACAGCTTTTTCAGAACCCAACTGAAGTACCTGTGAGGTTTAACAGTTGTTTTCCTTGCCTGTGTTCAGCCCTTCTTTTACTTTCATGCAGATGGCTTTTGAGGCCAGTGGCAGAATGCCAGACCATCTTCCATCTGATCCGGCTCTGGTGACAGTACAGTCCGGGCTCCAGATATATGGCAGGAGAGTTTATTTTAAGCACAAGAAGAATCTCAGTTTCTGCCATACCTAATAGAATGACTCCTTTGAATTCTGTGTGCCTTTGGAATATTATTTTTCTCCATAGAAATGGACTTTTCTCCATAGAAATGGACCGTCACATTAAGAACCCCATTGTGTCCGTGAAAGAGCTAACTTTACAAAGGCTGAACCGCCCCGTCCATGCTCCTGAAACACCTCGATGCATCCTAGGAGCTGTAACATTGTGTTGGAATAAATTAGATAATATGTGAAATGGACTGTCTCCCCCCTAAAAAAACAAAGACTATATAAAAATGTGCATCTGATAGATTGTCCAATATGTCATTATTATTCACAATTTTGACAATTTTTTTTAATTGCTTGTTCTATAAATTTAATTTACAAACATCAAAGGTACATTGCAATGACAGTTTTCTAAATGTCACAACTGGCAGTTGGATTTGTAATTGCCCATGTCCTTGGGTAGGCTCAAAAATAACTAAACAGGTGTTCATTTCTTAAAGAATGCATACACACTCTAAGAGAGAATGCCTGGATTAAAAGGAAAACCAAATATATGAATATCTGTATCGAAAAAATGCTTTGCATGTATCCCAAGATGGACTACATTGCCATGTCTAGGTATGGTTGCCTTGGTCTGGTTGGTCTGGTTTGTCCTTCAGGTTCTATTTACGCTCATTTGATTCAGTTTTAGTGGATTCACTATTCAGCGTGTGGGGGATTTATGTATCACCTTGTCTGTAGAGATTTTTCTCTTTAAAAATCCCATAATGATTGATTTTTACCTAATTAATCTCGCTGAAGGTTACACTGTCCTTATGTGTTATAACCATCACTAGGGTCTGTCCTCACCAGAGCCAAATGGGCAATTTGTCTTCTCAGACCAATGTTTTTAGACTTCTGAAATTGTTCTTTTCCTCTCTCCTGTACAATTTCACATTAATCTTTCGAAGAGAAGCACATTATCTTTTTCACTTGCTGTTTTAGTTGTAGTTTTTGGTCTCACACTGTGGATGTGACATTAGAGTGTGATCATAATGCTATCATAGTGTCTCTATAAGGTCAGTGGGAACTGGGCTATGAGGCCTCTCATCTCTGGAAAGCCTATGAAGCTGCCTGACTGTTTACTTGCTTTTATTGTCCCAGAAAGAACATTTTGCAGGTTTGCAACAAAACCTCCCTGCTTTGCTGGCAGGTAAAAGGTGTAACCCAATACACAATACTTTTAACACAACACAAACCCTTCAAAAATAATAGACATATATGTATAATGGAACAGAAAAAAACGAACTGCATTAAATAGTTTCTCTACTTCTATCAGAAATCCAAAACCATTTCATAAGGACATCAATGAGCAAAGATAGATTCTGTGAAATGAAATGCTTAGTAATTGCATTGATACACCTGTATGAGCGTACAAAATATACAACACTTGCTTACAGTGTAAACTTCATGAATAAGTGATATAATAATATAATAAAAGAATGTTAGCAATATCACTAAGTTCTTCACTAAAAAATATTTAGTGTACTCTCACTAGAGTAGATGTATAAGAACATAAGCCCTGGTAGGATTGTGAAGGCTTGTGTAAAGAAGCATGTATCAGCCTTATAATTCTGGACAAAAGAATAAAAATGACATTGAACATGTCGGTAAACATCATGAAACACTGAAACTCTTCAGAATGACATTTTATACCATGTCACTTTCAAAGGATTTTCTTTTTTTGTTTTAGAGCATCTTCTTCAAAATTATTTTTTAAACAAAATAGTCAAGGCACATTAAAGGCATAGTGGGGAAAGATCAAAGCCTGCTTTGTTAATTAACATTTCAAAGGGTAAACTGTACTGTCTTTGTAAATTCATTATCAAAATTAATGAGCATGCACTCTTATCTGCCATAGTCAGAAACCGACCTAATTGGAGAACAACTCAATGTTTATTTTTTTTTCTTTAGCACAAGTTTGCTTCCACCAGGATTTTATGTTGGACAAAACCAGTGAAGCTGAAATTGCAGGTCACAGAATTGTTTAGTTCCTCACATCTTCTCAGTAAAAAGTTTCAAGGAGATAATTACATTTAGGAAAATTAATTTTAATCTTTTAGAGAAGCCTACACATAATAGATCTTTTTCATTGATAGGGAAGTATTTTTCCTACACCCACGCTGTGAGGTTATGCCAGTTTGTCAGTTGGATTGATATTGAATTAAAGAACAGTCTTTCAATGTAGTGTAGCAGAAAAGCTCTGTAGGAGGATGCATGATACACCAAAGTAAAGTTCTTTCATTCAAAAGATGTTTTATGAAACAACCTTCATTTGCAATTTATTTGTAAAGCTTTTTTTTTTCTTCATTTGGCAGATGTCTCACACTAACATTCCAAAAGCTAGGCACTCTAGAAAAAAAAAGCGTATTTAAAAATATATATATTTTAAAATGTAATGCTATTCAGCGCTCAATGTCACCATTAAGTGTGATGGTTATGTTTTATATATACGAAGAGGATTCAGAAGATTTGCTAGATATTGCATTTCCCTGGTATTTAACTTCTTGAGGTGTGTGCAATTGAAAAGAGTCATCCATTAACCTTAGAAGATGGAAGTCCTTCTCATGATAAAAAAATGGTACAGCATTGATTTCTGCTCTTAATTAAAAATCATTTGTCATAAAGCTACTTTTACATTTACTGTAAATAATGTTAATTAAAAATGTTTGTCTTAATATCCTTTCTTCAAGCGCACCTTTGATTTGAACTGGGAGTTTGGCTTAACCAGTGATTGTACCAGAGACCACCGTTCAGTCAATAACTTGCTATATATTCCTTTAGCACGTGATGAGCAACTTCTTCTGCTATCAGTGCTTCGATACTTATGAAAAAATCGCAAGGGTTCCTATTACAGTAGGCTTTAGTGTGAGTGTAACATTGTTCTTTATTATGTAAAGTAACATACAACAAAAAATGTGAAAACATGCATTATAATGTAAATATAAACAGCTGAATCATGGTTCCATGGTAAAATGTTAATCAAATCTGAGGTAGAACAGGACAGGAAAACATTTGGAAGGCTAAAACTAAAGTACATCAACATAGCAGGAAAATAATACCAATCCTTCCTTAATTGAATAATTAATATATACAACAAAAAGTGTCTGTTTATGAAAACCCTCCTTTTTCAACTTCTGCTTTTTATAGATGAGCTGCTCTACTCCTGCACTGTAACTTCCTTCTGTTACAACTGCAAATTCTGTGCTATTCCAACAGACATCTGCATTAATAAAAATCTCATTTAGGAGCTACAATAATGCCTATGCACATAGGTGCAATATACTGAATCATCTTTCAGTCACCTATTGATGACAACAGGAGCAGTCTGTCGATTCTCAAGTTAGCAGCTTGAGAGTAGGGCTTTACAAGTGAAGGTCTGAGAACCTTATAAGCAATCTAGGATTATATGGGAAGGCATTGCAGAAACACCACAGTGAGATAAATTGCCATAGCAGGGTACCTGTATTAGGTCTATATGGCCCATGCAGATATCCTCAGAAATGTACAACATAGAGAAAGAGGATTATCCTGGCCTGCCTAAAATCCATGTGTACCCAGGACTGTACAGATATTTACACTACCTGTCTGAAAATGTGAAATTAGGAGCAGAACTGGCAGCTAAAATAGAAAAATTAAGGCAAAATGTACTGGGAATTGTGCAGGCAATTACAAAATAACTGGAAATAATTTAGTGTGGAAAGTCAGTAAAGAGTTTAATAAAAGCAAAAAGAGTAGAATGTTATCCATGAATCTTGAATCCACCAAATCCGATGTTAGAACTAACTTATTTGGCTCACACTTTTATTCAAAGCAACTTAAGTTTGTACCCATTTATCCATGTAGGTATTCCACTGGAACAATTTGGGTAAATTGTCTTGCTCAAAGCTAACAACACTCTCACCTGGGGTTTAAACCCATAATCTTCCGGTTATGAGACCTGAACTCTAAGCACTGGTCTACCATGCATGCCTAGTCTATTAATTTTTTACATTTTAAGTTGAGCTCCTTATCAGAATGGCTCCTTGGGATCCACTAGTTCAGCTAAGATTTCCAAAGTTAAATAGGTTAAATAATAATAACATGAAAAGAGGAAACAGTGTGAGAGAAATCAGGTCCTGTAAGAAATAGTTATCTATGACAAATGGTTTTTGAAATGGTGTGTTTGAGGCATCTAATCTGAATTTAACACATTCCATATACATATATGTATATATTGTTTTAACAGTCATATTCAAAGCTGCCTTTCTCTGTGCCCAGACAAACTGTATTATAATAACTGTACCATCAAATCCTATACTATATCCAGCACTGTTTTAATCTGTTATTGCTTTCAAAATGCCTGACACATTTTGAAGAGTCCTAATATGGTACCTTCATACAATACAATCCTTTAAACATTTTAAATGATCAGTGTGAAAAAGAAACCTTCAAAAATGGTGTGATCTGCTCCTTCTGCAATGCACTCCAGCTCATGAACTAATCTTGACCCCTGTCTGAAATGCTTGTTCTCTATGAGCATAGCAACGACATGTCAAAATATCTCCAGAGAACCTAAAGTGTGAAGAATAACAGTGAAAAGCTGCCAGGCTCCCTGGCTTATGTCACTGGGTGCTAAGACAAGCATACTTGTTCAACTATGCATTCAAAACCATGTGCCTGAGAACCCTTCTGTTGCATTACAACTCTGCTATGCATTCAAAACCATGTGCCTGAGAACCCTTCTGTTGCATTACAACTCTGCTATGCATTCAAAACCATGTGCCTGAGAACCCTTCTGTTGCATTACAACTCTGCTATCATTCTGTGCTAAAGTTCAAAGCCATTTGTTCCTCCCAGTTATTACTGGGATAAATTAGCAACATTGTGAACTAAACCATTTACTGTTTCTTCCACTGAAAAAGACAAAGCTTTTCAATTGAGCAGTGTGCCATACAACTGTGCCTTTGTAAGACTGTCTTTCCTGCAAAGTCCCGTTGTCCCAAATTTTTGGTACTGTGGTTGATTTTTGCTAAGAACAGAAAGACTCTCATGCTCTGTTTGATAGTGCTGCATCTCTGATGCTTCCAGTGAACTTTGGTTTAAAGATTCTGCAGAGCTGTTGGGGCTGACGTCAACATACTCTTTTTTCATGCTGCCAGGTGTGCTCTCTTTGTCCTTTGAGCTACCAGAGTGAAACAGGCTCCTGTCAGATTCCTGGCTGTCTTCCTTGGTCCTGTACATGTGCACCTTGTCTGGACTGCATATCCCGATGTCGTGCTCTGAGCTGGGGCTTGTGGTCATGAAACAGGGGTCCAGGATCCTGCTGCGGTACACATCATCTCCTTCTTGGAAGCTGCTGTAGAGGGTGCCCAGCTTGGCCTTAGAAGGACCAATTGCAAAGTGCTGCTCTGAGAAACTGTAAGGTGAGACCCTGCCTGGGTTTCTATAGGAATAGGCATTTATATCCTCCACGCTAAGTTGCCTCCAGCGGCCAGTGAGGTCTTCTTCTGGAATGTGGATGGTGCTTCTGCTGTCCCCATAGAGCTTAGAGGAACCCATGCTGTGTGATGATGTCAGGCGTGGTGAGTGGTAGGGCTCACTGTAACATGTGGGGATAGTCCTAGTGTAAACAGGTGAGGTGCCATTTTGGTGCCCATGCGCCATGTGCTGGAAGCTGTGGGACTTTGGGAAGCCAGGGCTGTCCTTTTCGTAGGATGAGTTGCTCTTTCTATCATAGTTCTCCTCTCTCCAGTCCATGTAGATAGCCTGGTGGGAGGACGAGAGGGTGCTGCTGGGGGCATTCCCTTTCTCATCTGACGCAACGCTGAAGCTGGAGTAGGAGCTGGAGGCTGGCAGGGAGGTGACGAACTCAGTGAAGGGCTCGTGGGAAAAGCTGGAGTGGAAGCCATCCTCTTCGGTGTTGCTGTCCATGGAGTTCTGCTGCCGAAACATGCCGGGGTCCTGCATGTGCAGGTCCACGCTTTGCCGCCTCTCTCTGCGGCGCTCGTCAGGGCAGTACAGCGCGGTGTCGCTACAGTACAGATCCCCCTTGTAGGCCGTCCTGCGGTTCAACTTCTCTGTGCTGCCCATATTGTTGTGCACAAAGCTGGTCTCACGGGACTGTGGGCTAGAGGCACGCGAGCAAGGCATGCTGTTGGGCTCTGGCTTTTCCAGCAGCTTGGCGATGATAGATGTGGGTACAGAGTCAGAGTATGGGGAGTGACACAGTGGCAGAGACACTCCACAGCCGTGCTTCTCCATGTGAAGGCTGATTCGCTCCTGAAACTCTGTGGGCAACTGCGGCAAGGAGAGAAATGCACATCAATACATGGATGGAACAGGGGCCAAAGGAGACACAATGAGAACTTGGAGACCAAAAGTGTCTCCTGTTGTTAGGGGAGAATCCAGAGATTGCACAAGTGGCATCACTGACAGCTTCATTACCAATAACACAAAAAGCAAATGCATATCTGTATTGCAGTTCATACAGTTATTGCAGATTAATTGTAAAAGCTGTACTAACCAGTTATCATTAGATGAGTGGTAGATCACCTTATTTCTCATTTTTAGCACAAGGCCACTGAAATCCTCCCTGTCAGCACAGAGTTTCTCTAGGTGTCTTTTATAGCACCATCAAACACACAGCTCCTACCCGGGAGCAGCTAGGATTCCAATTATACAAACAGTTTTTTTTTTTTAGAAGGAAAAAAAGAATCACAGTCTTAGGAGAAATCTGGTTGCTTGGCAAAAAAATATGGGGTTCGATGTTTTGTGATATTTTTAGACCTTGATTCAGCCAACACATCATTTTTGAGTTGGGCTTTAGGGTCATTTTGGGATTAACCCCATTACAGTAAGGGGTGGGTGTGGCTCATTCCTTCCTGTAATATTCTTGGAATGCATTTCTATTGTTTTAATTGCACAATGCATAACATTAAACAACTAATGTTTCTAATAAGAAAACATAATGAATAAGGTAATGTGATCCACATATATATATAGCAAATAATCAAATGTATCAGCATGATGGAGTGCATAATATATCATACATACAGTAAATTATACATTTTGCTTCATTTATTAAGTGAGATGTGTCTTACACAGTGTCACTACGTAGGTAATTCTTGTGTGATTGGTGTGGTTCATCCTGCCACGATTGAATCCCAGTCACTTTCAGGCTCTAAGCATGCATAGCACTGCTTCCTAGGCAGTGAAGAAGGACCAGGAGAACATGGGACCAGCGATTTTATTGAACCTCCCTTGCTGGTACTCAACATCCATATCGTTCATTTCAAAGATAGGGAAAATGTTGAAATAAATAGCACAATATTTGGGGCTAATCAAATCGACCTAAATAATCTTTACAAACAAAGGATGTTTCTGAATTTGTGAATTTACACTTCTCCCATCTGAGAGATGTTTGTCCCTAAGTGTAAAAGTAACAGACTCAGGAAATTTTTCATGACCACTACAATATCTCTCCAAACAATGTAAAGTAACTATTTTCTCTCTTATCTCCTGTAACACTGTATGGTATTCCCTGTTGGTAATGTTTGTCTGTCCTTGTATTGTTGAATTGGACTGTGCCATAAAACTAACTTCCCTCAGGGTATAATAGAAGTTGGATTGAACTGAGTGCATCTCTTGTTTGCCCTGTCAATATTTGCATCCCATGTTTCACACAATGCAAACTTTGGCAGAAGTGTGACAAGTTATGATGTTGCAAATTTCTGAGGTTGTAATGGTACTTTACTAGCAAATATCTGTTTGGTTTTTGCATTTGCTTGTCAGCCCTTTACATATTCTGGATCTGGGACTGTGTTAAGAAAAACAAAATTAATTTGTTTGCTAAGTGGGCTAGCTTTTTTAAAGCTTCTAAACTGTGCTTGAATGATTGCTGAAGGATATATAATGTATATATTTATGATTAGGGATTATATTTAATATATATATAAGGTTATATTTCAAGCAGATTTATAGATTAATGTCAGCTGCTGTCCATTTCTTGGCAGCTTGATAGGTGAAAAGAATTGCACTATGCAGGGGCGAAGGAATTAATACTACTTTTTTACACTAAAACTTATGCATATATAAAAATAGCAACACGGAATCATCCTTGATGATCAGGCCCAATATGTCAACACTGTATTCAAGCAATGGCATATTTGGTCTAATGTAAATAAAAGATGGTTATAATGGACTGATTCTACAGGAATCATTTAGAAGTTGTGGACTTTGACATCTTTATATTATGTAGGAAACTGGAAAGCTGATTAAACATTCAATATTTGGGGTGGCTTTTCGTGATTTGTGACACCACTGTGGTGGGTTCAGATGAGAACTATACACCCCAGAGTCCACAAAGTCAATTAAATCAATTCAGTAAGTAAAGGCCACTTCCCAGTCTTGTTCTTCCTACACTATAGTCATTAAAATGCTGAGAGGCCTCATCCACCTGACAGCCACCCAGAGCTTTGATACTAACACTTGACAGCTCCGTTTAAATGTGCTAATTGAAAGAGAATACAATCACCTCGGACAGCTTGTGGGCTCTGTAATGGGACTTGCTACACTGGAGCAGCTGAGCAGCCAAATTGCAGTCCTTTCTGTAAAGGTCCTAGGAAAAGAAGATGTTAGGCATTAACACCAACACAGAGACTTAAATGTGCAATTTACTATATCTGGAAGATCAGTGACACCTGGATGAGACAGATTAAATTAATAAATGCTTGGGATTTTAATTTCACTGGTCCGTTCCAGGCAGACATCTTCCTGGGAGGATGGGTTCAAAAGGAATCTGCCAGCTCTATATTGTTGTTGACTACAGTGTCCTGTTATTCCGTATGTTCAATCTCTATCTAAAGGGATTTGGGGAGGGGAAGTGGGGGTTATCCCTTTCTCAGTGCATTAAATGTTAACAGGTATACAGACAGCAGAAACACAGTGTTGGCATTTAAAACATTTATGTTTATGGAAACTATTGAACAATAAAAATAAGTCATTTTTGAATTGCAATACATTAGATGCAGTAAATTCTTTAATATGTGCATAATAGATTGCTGACTGATCCTGAAAAGGGCGGCCGTCCATGTTGAAAAAAGGACCCTGGTGCAGGAGAAGACAGGTGCAGAGCTCCGGGAAGGCAATACAGACAATGGTGGTGCGGGAGCAAGCAAGCAGGCAGGCAGGCAGACACAGGCATGATGCAGCAGTGCAGCCAACATAGCCACACAGCAGTTGCAGAACTGCATGTGTGTCGTGCAGATGAAAGGTCTCAAAGAGAAATCCAAATAGAATGGTCGAGCGGACGAGAGGCCCAAGCGCCGCAGAAAGGACTTGCTCTGGTGAGGGGCCCTGAACATTGGGGCCTGCACCCAGGATCTTTCTTCAGGCCCACAGTGAATCAGGTACCACAGACTGCCCTGAACTCAGTGGGGATCCAGGATCTGCTGGAGAATAGGTTCCTGAAAAGTGTCCAGAGGGGGAACTGTTGGTCCTGTGGAAGAGGGTGACAAGAAGCACGCAGTACTGGGCTTGAGAAGCAACACATGGAGGGCCGGGGAGAGGCACTTTCCAAGTCGATGAGGTAGATCCAGCCTTTAGGTGACTATGTTGATCCGTTTAAGGATCTTTAAGGAACCTATGAATAAAAGAACAAGTTTCAGCTAAGGAACCTGTAAACAAAATTATTTGGATGACAACCTTCTTCCTAGAAAAAAAAGTAGGTATGGAGTGTATGTGGCAATCCGCAAATCTCTTCTGCCTTTTAGAAGCCTTCACTAAATTACACAGTATTGGATCCTGTAGAAGCAGGGATATCAGCAGCTCCAGGCTGCAGGGTCAGGTAAGGAGGTTGGTAGCTGTTCACACATGAACTGTGATGTTCCAGTGGACAAGTTGATTAAAATGTTCCTCAAAAAATCTGCCTAAGGAAGTGCTTGAGCTTTGTCTTTCTGAAAAGTGGAGACATGACAACGAAGGTATGTCTCCATGTCCTAGTTAACACCGGTTGCCTTTCCTCTTGGTATCCAGAGGAGAGGTTAACCTTGATCCTCGGTCATCTGCAAAATTCCCACCAGAATCTGGAGATAAACTGTCCCCCAGTAAGAAGTAATGTTGGATAGAAAGCCACGAAGTCGGAATACTTCCTTCACAAAGACATCTGTTAGAAGTGGATAGCAACTTTGGATTAAATGGGCAGCCTATGGACCTGACCATTGAGACAAGACAAAACAACTGTTACATCAGATGCAGCCATTTTGTAATGAAGAAGCCACGGTGAAGCGGCACATCAGCACTTTGAAAGCCCTCTGTGCACCTGGACTCACTCTTCCCTGACCAGAACCCTTCTTGGTGAAGGCTCTGATGGAGGCCAATACTGAACTGAAGTTGCACATTAATTTGTGATAGAAATGTACAAATCCCAAGAAACGCTGAAGAAAACGCTTTCAGCAAGGTGGGAGTCTGCTAGTTGTGTTCCATTGAGAACTTCTCAGGAGAAAGATCCATTTGGATCTCTTAAGAGGAGATGTAATTACCCAGGACTGTTACCTCAGGCACCTGAAGCAAGATGTCATCTATGTAGATAACCATAAATTTGTCCAAGAAATCCTGGAATGTATCGTTAATGAGATTTTGGATGATGGCAGAAGCATAAGAGAGACCAAAGGGCCACCAGATATTCATAATGGAGGGAGGTTTCTTGCACTTACTCCCTTATCTGATTCACGCCAGATTATAAGCCTTTCTAAGATCAGTTTTACAGAAAATCATCGCCTGACTGGACCTCTCCAAGAATGAGGATATTAATGAAAGGGGATATCAGTTCTTGATTGTGATCTGGTTCAAGCTCTGATAGTTGATGCATGCTATCTTACTCCTTGACAAAGAAGAACAGGTATGAGGTCCAAACACTGGAGAAAGTTGGGCAATCTGAGTGAAGTACAGAAAGACTTAAACAAAGCTAGAGGGAAATTCAGGAACTGGGGTTGATGGAACAAGCAGAGAGTCAAGCAAGAATGGAATTCAAACACAGGAAAGAAATAACAAACAAGAAAGCTCAGGGTCACAGGAGCTAGTGATGGGACTGAGAACCATATTCATGTCAGTGAAGTGGGTATAAATATCTTGCTGTTAACAAGGTAAGTTTTGCCACTAAAACAGGCAGATTGATCAGGTGATTGACTACCAGTTGTAGTGCTATGTAAGTTGGAAATAACCCTTACCTGAGCATGAGCATTAGAATGTGTTCATTTATTTGCTAACATTCTTGCAGCACTACAACAAAAATCCATACCTGCCACAGACACAGTACACCTTTCATAAATCAAGTATAAAACAAACAGAAAAAAGTGTTCTGAAATCCTTTAATGTGATTTCTGAATGTGATTTTAAGTTAGTGAAGCTCTGCAGGGTTGATGTGTTCTGGGGCTTGGGGAGATTGTCCTTTGCCCCAGCTGGAGATGAGTAATATTCAGGCTACATGCTCCAGTGTTCAGAAACCAAATACTGATAGAAAAATCAAATCATGCCTGCTTAGAGACTGATATTACCACTTACTGCGTAATGTTTTGTCTGTTGCTGCTTGACAATTCTCTGTGGGAATCTACAGTATTTACCTCAAAGCGTCTGGGGTAACAAAGTGATCACTGGATTGGGAATGAAAGTTCACCACTATGTGAGAAAGAGGCGAGCTTTCATTCTAAAAGCAGTTTTCAGTCTTCCTCAGAGACCACAGCTTCAAAGCCAGCCAAGCTGTTTTCAGGAAATGCCATGGCAGTAGAGATGAAGAGATGAGATTTATTGTCTTAACCTTTTCATCCCTCTGTCCTGGGAGCTGTTTCCCACTGCCTTCATATCCTCCTTCCTTATGCCAGATGCTGCTAGAGTAGTTTTGTTATTAATGTGATTACATTTTCAGTTTTATATCTACCTAATTTGAAAGTTTCATTTTTATTCAACGTGGCCATCCACTTCATCCACTGTCCTGCCCGAGGCGAAAGCAATGAAGACTTGTGTATGAACTTTTACAATATGCCCACATCTGAGAGCCATTAGTCATTTGAAATACTGTGAGCTCAAACCTACCTCACACAGGAGAGCTAACAGCAAAATAAAAACCAGTGCTGCTCTGACTGATGACAGGTATGATGTAAACATGGCAAAAGAAAACATTCAAATGTGGAGCTATGTCTGGGCTAAAGTCAGCATCACGCTCCAGCCTGCCTATTACCCCCAGCAGGATTAGCCCCCGGTACTCATTTGGAAAGCAGGCTGAGTGGACCTGGGAGCCGTCTGGAAGGAATTAGAGCAAGCTACATCACCTGCCCCTACTGGGATTGAACCTTCCAATCAGGAGCTAGATGCTCTTGCCGTCTGAGATACCACAGCTCCTTTGAGAAGTTATTAAAGTAGTTTTTCACTTTCACATGCTTTAGTGCTTTCATGGGAACACCTTGAGATGTTATCACAATCCGAGCTAGGTCACAAAGCTCATACTTCAATCTCCAAAGCATTTTGAAGAGAACAAAAAACATTTTAACTTGAGTCAACAAGATACAATATCAAATCCTGAAAGGGGCTGCGATTTTCTGAGAGGACTCACTAAGACCTTGAATGATTCTCTAGCAGTGCATTTTGTTTTTTGAGAGTTTATTTATAAAGAAAAGATCTGTAAGCGGCAATTATGATTTTTTTTTTATTGCTGCAGTAGGTGCATATTGCCTGAGTGGGATTGTATAAGTTGCAGACACTTCTGTAATGATAATTAATTTGGAACTTTGAAATCACAGATGCATGTCCCCTAAAGGAGCTCAGCTCAAGCATAATTGATTGTGAGAAGCACCCCTTAGTGAAATACTGTATGAAACATGGGACAGAAATAACAAGTTTTCTAGTCTGATTACCATCCCCCCTTCCCATCCAATTTTTTAACTAGTAAGCCCCTAACTTACTTGTCTTTTTTGAAAGCTTCTAAGGGTCTTAGTTCCTCATGTGATGTAGACTAGTCAAGAGAGACTTCAAAGTAATACATTTATTACTGGAACCTTATTTTTCCCCTAAGCACATGTTATAAAATTAACTGCTATTATGGTGTTCAATGGTATTCGATTCTAACAACCCAATGAAGGGAGGTATATGTATGCAGCTTGTTGGAATTCTTGGGTTTAAAGTGTACCAATAAGGGAGAGTAATCTCATCATGAAAGTATCAATTCTGCTTAGTATTGTTGAAAAAGAATGGGTTTCGTTCATCCTTCATGAAGCGACCTTATCAATGAATGTATGCTGCTGTGCAAAAGTCTTAATCATCAACAATTTACAAGTGTTTTGTAATTTTTATTATTTATCTGTAGCCACGCTATATGTACAGTATGTACTGTTTAGTTTTATTTGTGTGGTACTTGTATTAATTTTTCCATTTTGCATTAGCCTTATTGGCATTTTATTAACAATTTTTTAGAGGGGGGAGGAGTAAAGGGTGGGGCAGAGATCTTCAGTGGGGTATGCTTGTTTAATTTTATTTTTATATTTTATTTTTCATGTGGAATTCCCTTGTATTCACGTCCCCCTGTATATACAGTATATACTGTACTTATGTTGATCTTGTTATCCCTCCTTGTAAAATGTAATAAATTGTCACAAAAACCATATTGTTACCTTAGTATACCTGCATTATTCATCATTGTACTTATTCTTAAAACAAATTTTCTGTATTTTAAGTTAACAATAATATCAGTACTTACTTTGTGTGAATCTCATACAACTCAAAGTAAACAATACAGGGGTAGCTAATATGAAGTCTAGTGAAGGCTAATCCATCACATTTGCTATTCAAATCTAATTTGAGTCTGTTGTCATCTGTGTATCACCATTATGGTAAAATCATTTGTTTCTCTCATGTGTATCCATGCAGATAAAAGGCTACTTTATACTACAAAATACAAGTCAATAGCAATGTGTATTGGTTTGTCTAAAAAAAAGTATGTATTCCAACCCCTTCATTTTTTAAAAATAAATGCTTTCTTTTCATAATGCCTTGTGGACTCATTTAATGAGCACATCCCCCTCTACTCCACAGATCTCTGACCAGCACGCTAGGGAAACTGTGCCTGATAAATGACACCTCAGCAAAATGTGACCCTAGTCTGTGCTTTTCAACATCAGTAGATTTCTAAAGTCCTATCTTACATGTCTCTAGAAGAGGAATAAGCTACTGCTTCCATAGAGAACCAGTCCTTTAGCTTCAAAGACGTATCCGTATAGATGGAGCCTAGAGGGTCTTTAGGCAGACTCCCATACAATCCTGAAGGGAAAATTTCAGCAGGCTGGGTAATTGCAAACAGGTTCTGCTTCAAAATTAACACATAATTTAATACCAAGGTCTTTTTAACAGTTTTAGAAATGGTCTCAGTGATAAGTGTTAAGTTTTTAAATAGCACAAAAAGCTTTTATTCAGGGTCAAATGGGGTGGAGCAGTGGTTCTGTGGCTAAGGATCTGCACCTGTGGATGAAAGGTTGCCAGTTCAATTCCCATGGCCGTCAGAGGAATCCTACTCCTTTGGGCCCTTGAGCAAGGCCCTTAACCCCAACTTCTCCAGGGGCGCTGTACAACGGCTGACCCTGTGCTCTGACCCCAAGCTTCTCCCTGTCTGTGTGTCTCATGGAGAGCATGCAAAAAGATGGGTATGCAAAAAGATGAATTCCTAATGCAAGAAATTGTATATGGCTAGGCTAATAAAGTGATCTTATCTTAAATGTCTGGTGAAGGGTATACATATTTTAACAGTTGTGTTAGTTCAGAAACACACCTGGAATAAAAACTCTTATATAGAAAACATTTTTTTCTGTAAAGTAGCATCATATCTTTCTATAATATATTGTTCTCTGTATTAAGAATGCATACACAGTTAGGACTGTAGAAACCCTCGTGCAGTATATCTGCTAGCAACAGATTACAGATACCAGAGAAGGGGGAAATTATATACACTGTATGCAAGGAAAGATTTTGATTGAATTATGTTAGAATCTTTGCACACTAACTATATTCTTTCTGTCTTACTATGAAGGGGTAGTGATGTCCCCTCTGCCTGTAATTTAGTCTACACCATAACAGCTTCTTAACTTTTAAGAAAAAGTAAAACACATTAATAATAAAGTTTTCCAACTCCCTCAGGACAATGAAGTGGCAGTAAAAGAAAGAAATCTCACTAAAGTCAAAAGTCGCAGTGAATCAGATGAGCAATTGCTTGTGTTTACAGTAGGTTCTCTAAGGCCCTGTATGAGCCTTGTCAGGAAATCAGTAAAATCAGCTCTCTAGAGGACAAAAGCCACTGGAATTGGACAATAATACTCACATTATCCTCTCGAAGTTTGTCAATGGTAATCTTGGCCTCCATCAAGTGATTGTTGAGGACAATGATCTCGTGGCTGAGCGCTCGCTTCTCCTCATCATGGTGCTGAGTCTGCAGGTGGAAAGAATGACAATTCAGTACCAGAGAAAAAAATCAACTTTCATGCCCCAGTCACTGTAATATTGGTTCATGGTGTAGCAATAACAGCATATGAAAATGGGCATTTTAGCAAAAGAATACATTCTTGCCAGATACTGCATGTATGTCATGTTGTTTGCACAGAACTAGTGGCACAAGCTCACTTTCTCCTGTTCAGAAGGACAACTGAAGATTGTGTGAAAGTGGAATCATTTATTGCGTTTGTGAAATCTTGGCTTATCCCTCTTGGCTGAGGGCCAACCTCTCAGTCATAGGACATAGGGGAGGCTAGGACAACCATATCAAGTGAAAAGGCAACCAAGTGGCCACTGGAAAGGTGGAGATGGGGTGGAGGAGGGATGCAAAATGAACGAAGAAGAGGAGAGAGTGACGTGGTGTATTTGGGATTTTGAGAAATTACGTGAGGATTACTTTTGGGTTGCCACAGCTGAGCTTAATTAGTTTGGCTGCTCTCATCCCTCCCAAACTTTCATTAGAACTCCATTTAACAAAATCAAGGGGAAGCATATTAACTCTTTATACCACAAATATGGGGTTCATTACTCCTGGAGAATGTACAGTTCAGCATAGGACCATCAGAAATCAATGCCTACATTAATAAATAACTTTTAAGGACAGAAAATACACGTCACCATGGCTTTTTATTACACAAATATATAAATAAGCACACTGACCTGCAAGGTTATGTTGTCTGTTGCTAGATACTTCTATGGTATGTTATTGATTCTCAACTATAATGGTTTTTGACATCATGTATTATACTTTTATTTAAGATCACTGTTCAAATAACTTTCCTGTTAATCAATTGCTGCCTTCTCTGTTGACACAATTGACAGCTGCATCATAGTCTTGTCTGAAATGGACGATGGCCAAAACAATAAGGTTGTATGGTTTTTTATTTTAAAATGTAACACATACTGTTTTTTGGATACCATCCAGAATTGCGTTTGAAATGCTGAATCTGAAAAAGGCACATCTGTAAAATGTGTCTATTACTGCCACTCAGGTTCTCTCATTTAATGGTTGGTTGGGTGCAAAGGGAGGAGGGACTGCAATAAGCTATAATTAAATGTCTAATGTCAATATCTGGAGTAAGAGCAAAGTAATGGTATTAAAATGCAAACACTTAGCTTTCATAAATCTCCTGTGACATGTTACTAGACACTAACCCCTTATCTTTCAGTCACATTGAACAATACTTATGGTTTGCCATCCTCAGCCCAGCTGTGATGCTTTCCAACAGAGCGGGATTGCAGTAAATTATGTGACATTTTAAATGTTAATTTTTGAAGGGTTTCCTTAACATAGCTCTCAACGTGACTTACAGATCTCTTCAGATCCATGCCTGTCATCTCTATTTAAAGGGATCATTGTATTTTTGGATGATTTTTTTTTCGGGTTAAATAAGTTATTGAAAAACAATTCATTAATAATTATGACTTTTTAAAAAAATCAGTCTATGGGAAAGTGTTAAGCAGGTCATAAAACAGTAAAAAAATTAAATGACTGAGACTGACATTTTCCACTAGAAATGTCAAAAGAGCTAAATCGAATATACTGTATGTGGAGTTCCCTTTCCAGGAAATAAGGATAAAAAAGGATTTTCCCATTTTTATATGGGACCTGTTCTTGTGAAAATAGCCAGGAAGGCTGTAGTCTACATGTAGTCTTCATAGTGGGTTGTTGGATCTGTCTCTTTATTTATTTTAAACAAGATCTAGGATCAAAGAACTATCATCACTATCAAGAACTACCCAGAGAACTATTAATCTCTTCTAGACAAGTCAGTTATTATTACAACCTATTGTTGTTACTATACACAGAGTGTGATTATGAGAAATGTCCATCAAAATCAATAAAGATGTACTTTAACATGCTTGTCCTGTAAATGAATTGTTACTGTCACAGGCATTCTTGGTATGCAAGCTTGATTTTTGGGTTCTATTTCCAACAGCTTTAACTTAGTTTTGGACTGTGGGTGTATATTATGTGTTTCAGTTTTTTTAACATGACATTTAACATTTTTTAACAGGAATATCATGTAAAAACTTATTACCTCATAAAAAAGAACCCAAAATATTTTTTTATTGGAAGTTAAAAACAGAAAGCACTAGATGATTATAAAAAAGCAATTTGCCTTAAATATAACAGATTTTTTTTGATAATATAATAGATTTTCAACTGTTGATAATTAATCTATTTAAAAACGAAAATAAGGATTTTGAAGTAGCTCAACCAGTAGAGATGCTCACTAAGGATACTGACAGGGCCCTATAGTACCTGGGATATTGCTAGGCGTAGTGACTAGGATTCTCCCAAATGAATCATGAGCAGAGTATATTCAGGGCTGGAAGTACATTACTTAGTCAGGGAGACTCCTGTGACTAGTAAAGTACTTGCAGTGACCCTAGTGAGAGACATGATAACTTGTAGAACCTGCAGTTTCAAAGAGGTAAAGGTCTCTAACTGGTGAGCAGTTCCGCAGGTCCACATTCCCACCTTCTAGTATAGGAGTCACTGCCATTAGCCAGGTTTTAAAGTTATGATTCCAAATTGTGAAGCATATAAACTAAAGTACAATATACACTGAAAATGAAATTAAAACCACAAGGAGTGCGTTACTGATAACAAGTATGCATACTTGGATAGGAACATGGTGGGGTCTTCTTATGAGTCTTGGTGTGAAATGCTTGTATTGGTTTTATTACAGGGATGTAGCCTGGCCTCTTAGATATGCACAATTAATGCAGTGAAAGGTCACTTCCCCTCTCTGCCGACACATAATGTATCCAAACAGAATGTGGGCTAACGTTTCTCTCCCTGCTGAATTCTTGCTCCTACAGAATGAGTCAACGGACAGTTTGATATACAGTAGATGTTAATAAAACTGGCCTTTAAATGCAGGTATTGTAAAATGACATTTTAAATATTCATTGCTCACTGAACATACTGTATACAGTATAACCACTCTGTAAAGGCAGTGTGACTTCTTAAGTTATAGTTTTTAAATAAATACCTAAATCCACATTTCAATTCTTTTATTTGGGTTTTGTAGGCATTTATTTTTCAATTCAAATTGATACGAAAATTCACATTGACAATTTAGCTCATGGTAATTTCCTGTAACAAAAATACTGATGATTAGTGTCTTCATCATTTTTTGAATAATTCAATATTGAAATGGGTGCCGTTAGACACTATGGTCGATTCCAGAACATCTTAATGTTATAAGGGAGCGTCATTGTTAAACATTTTCTGATCGATGCCTCATGTACTACTTGTGGCCATTTGAATGTCAGTCTCTTCCAGCTGAATTTCATTTACAATAGACAAGACCCAGGGCAGACAAAAGCTCGAATTAAAATATTCAATCACCAGTGACTAGAATAAACAAGTGCATTTTCTTCAATACAGAAGAAATTTTCATTAGATAAATGTAGGCAGCAACATTTTCCTAAGCGAGGAGCATTTTAAGCTTTAATTTCGTACACAAACACTATATTAGTCATCACATCATGTTTAAGCTTCAACAGTTTTAATATCGTTCAGCCCCCTTGAAGTCACTGCGCAATTTCCACTATGGCCCTTGAAGCTGGTGAAGAGAATCTAATTTAGCTTCCTGCTGTCTGCACTACATCATTTGAAAATTACAATCTAAGAAGCTCCCCATGATCATTAGAGATAAGTGCTTTTAGTGTTTCACACACAAGGCATATGGAATCTATAATGTATAAATCCTTCTACTGCCAAGGACTATTCATTACTTGTTTCTTGTTAGAACAGCACCACCTAATCCTTTATTTTCTCTTTTTATACACACCTTCTATTTTCTCTGCAAAGACAGTACATAGGGAAACCTATTTTTAGCACTCCATTCACATTCCATTGTTTTATTAATTGGCCAGGACTTGCCTTATCTTTACAACACAACAAAAGACTTTAATACAAATTTACCGAGAATGATGAAGCTTTGAAGTAGCCAGCATACTGAAATTTATGGTGGATACTATACAATGAGCAACCTTAAAATACTGAAATATTTCAATAATGCATGATTCTCTATTCAGAGCTTTAGCTGTGACTTACAACATGCATCTCTACAAAAACAATATGCATTTACTGTACTTCTGTGATGCATCGTTTTCACAATCTTTTAAGCAGGACAATACCTTGCTGCTTTGGAGCTGTAAAAGCTTTCTAAGTGCTTTGCATGGTGCAACAGTTTAAATTGCTAACACTGGTAGTTACAGTACCTGGAGGCATGCAGCTGTGACTCGATGTGCTGGGAGTGTCCGGACCACACTGCAGTCCTGACTGGAGCTCACCAGCATGTAGCATGCAGACTTTGTTCATGTGAGCAGTGTTTTCTATCTGCTTACCACATGCTGCATTTTACCTTGAGCCGAATTCATATGACAAAATTTGTTTTACAGCATATGCCTGATGAGAATGACACCTACTGCCAATGTTGGAGAGAGGCAAAACATGCAGGCAACAAGATTTGTCATTTCCTTTAACACGCCTCGTGGTTTGACAGAGATGATGATAGCCTTCACTGAAACCTATTTTTCTTAACCTCTTTAGACTTGTTGCAGGACTTAGCCACGGAATAGCTATTGCTGCAGCAGGCTGTTACTAAGCCTTGAGCTCCGAAAGGCCACCAGTGTAATCAGCAGCTTTCCCTTTTAATTTAATTACAGGATTTTTTCCCATGGCAACAGTTCCCAGAGTTTAAGTTCTAATGAAAATTGTATGAGCTATTGCATTGTCAAAATGCTTAACAAAAGAGATGTGTTTACTTAATAAAGTTAAATCGATTTGTTAAAGAATTTTAGGACTAGAAGAAAACTGAATATGTTATATATACATATTCAAATTTCTTCTAGGTCTAAACTTCTTAGGATAAAGAGAAAGTGAGGAAGCTTAAAAGTTTATTTTTTACAGAATCAACT